GGTTCATGACTGCACGTAACGAGAATAGGCTACCTATATATTCAATGCTTTAGACCAAACTCATGTCAAATGCAATTCAACTCCGCCAACTCCGGTTAACAATTATTACAATCTACGATTCACTGACAGAATCTAAAATCTTAAATTTAACAATAATAATTTAAGCACAAGTTCCATTTCCGGTTGGGTCATTGGCCGGGTCTAACCTAAGATTAGGTTTTCATAATTGATCCGACTGGATTTAAACCACAGTAATGTGTGTGTTGGTTTGTACTAATCCCCGAGCCTAAAAGTACTCCCGATCTTTCAGGACGTTTAAGGAATGAACCGGAATGATTTATATGAAATAACAAGACATCAAATTTCTAATGAAGTTAAACCAATGCCGATCAGGACCAGACGACATTAAGACGCCATCTTGGTTTCCGGTGAACACGGTTTCAGCATTTTGTATCAATCTACAGACTATAAAATATTAAAATCTGTTTCAATGATAGTGATAGTTTAAAGGTCATGGCCTGTTCATTTAAAAAATCAATTTTATCGTAAATATGGTGTCTCTCAATGTACAATTTTACATTTACGACCAGCACCGTCTCTAGGAATGAATTGTTGCTGGTGTTCTGATTTTATACTCAGAAAATTTGAAGAATTTAGATCCAGGAAACTCATTCCTGACAATTTTGAGGTGCCAAAAACGTATCAAAATTTATATCTTTTTGATTTTGTACAAAGACACTGTAATCCCTAATTAATTGTTGCTATTGTTATATTTTTGTGTATATATATAACTTCTTGTACCATATTTCCTCACTTCACCTGAAGATGACAATGTAGATTGTTGAAACGTTGTGTGTAATAAAACTAAGGAGTAGCTGAAAATGACAATGTAGATTGTTGAAAATAATGTTGTGTGTAATACAACTAAGGAGTAGTCTGATGATGACAATGTAAATTGTTGAAACGTAGTGTGTAATAAAACTAAGGAGTATTATACCATAAAATTGTGTTCTGTTATTTAATGTGATCTCTACCCATAAATGTCGCTAATTGTTTATTGTAAATGATTCAGTCTCTGCTGAACTGAAGAAGGTTTTGCTGCGGATTAATTCTCACTTGCTGGTGCCCAACCCCCAAGGACTCCACCCTAACGAGAGGGCTGCTTATTCAGCTTGTTTGTGGGCTGTACCTTGGCTCAAATGTCGCAGTGACGATTTATCTTTGATATTGGTATACGTTGTCATATGACAATATTAGAGAGCCGCGGTGGCTCAGTGAGTTAGACGCTTGCTCGCTAAACCAGAAAGTCCAGGGTTCAAACCGGCATAGGTCGAGATAAAATCTTTGGATTTTTCAACCCGGTTTCCCCCTGTCAGTGATGCCGGTAAGTACGGCTGACATGGAAAAGGCGTCTAGTCGTTCGGATTTGACAATAAACAATAATAGGCCACATGTTCTACAAACTGTGCACGTTAAAGATCCCTCGACAGTTTGGAAATCGAAAAAGAGCAGGCTTATGCCGATGTCCTGGCAAAATTTCCCTCATTGCTCCCTGCATGGCGTTGCTCGTCTTCATAAGCCCAGATGGTGCAGAAAAGTAGGACGTAAAACATTTCATTTCCATTTCATTTGTGATCTAATTAATTATAGCTAAGCCCCTATTATTCAATATCATTCAGCATCATCCTAGTATAGCGCAGTCCTACATATTTTATTTACAATGTTATTTTTGTATTCCAATGAAGTAAAAAAAATCACAAAAGAAGACAATTCTTCACTCCAAAACATCTCACCAATCGGGAGCCATAATAAGAACAAATTGATAACAATGCGATGCCATTATCCTATCTTGCTGTATTATTTAGTTGTGTATTTGATTCAGTCTGATAGATCAGAAACAAAGGGTCGTGAACCATAACTAGTTCCCCTGGGAACGTCTGACGTCTGAATGGCGGGTTCAAATTGACGTCAGTAATGGCGGAAAGGGATTTGTGAAAAACTGTTACATTCAACAACAACAATGTCTTCGTCCGCCATTTTATATACTTGTACCTTATTCATTAAAACTTAAAAAGAAATCCAGATTTTAATAAATACTGTAATCTGATTGGATAAAAAAATAAAATTTAAGATCAATTTTAGCGCTTGACTAACAGAATACTAGAATGCTAAAACCATTTTAATTGAAGTTTTCGAGAAAAAGGCCCAAGGTTAGATAGAAAGCAATCTGGAATATGTGGCGAGTCGACAACTTCTGTATTACTGAATAATGTTTTCTTTCACAAAATTACAATAGAACACAAGCAGTTTAAGATTCAGTACTCCTTCTCATATATACAGTTGAAAATATACATTTAGATCGTTTCATTTCCCTCAACTAACGTTTCCTAGAAACGCCAATGGCTGACATGGAAAAAGTCTAGTCGGTGGGATAATAAACCGAGGCCCCGACAGTTGGAAATCGAACAATAGCAGGCTAATGCCACTGTCCTGGTATTTCTGCTCATATACACAGTTGAAAATATTCATTTAGATGGTTTCATTCCTTACGATGGTCTCCATTATCACAATGTCAACTCATCGTCCAGTACCATGTAACATCCACCTTTCCTGTGCCACAGAAGTTTCTAAATGCAGAGAATTGATTGGATTGTAAGATTGCGCCTATCAGAATCCTCGACAGAAGGTATGTAAACACTAAGTCACAATGTTTGCAAACTTTCTGTTGGGGACTCTGATTGGCTGTAATCAATAGCGTACAAGCCAATCAAATCGCTGCATTCTGTATGGCATAAGTATTGCAATCAAGGGATAAGACAAAGTTCGTAATAGTTTGACATTGTGATTTTGACCAATCAGTAGCCACCATTCTTGTATCAAAGAATGTAGTGATTTGATTGGCTTGTAGCAGCTAATGATCTTTTCACATGAGGAAATTGATCATAAGTGAATGAGTACATCTTAATGAAAAGTGGTATCAGGTGTCTAGAAGAGTAAGCATCAATTTTAAAGGGACATAACTGATGAAAATGATATTTATTTTATTCAAATAGTCAAGGGAGCTAATCGAAATAGTTATTATATTATGATTAGAAAAAATATTGCAAACATCGTATAATTCTAAGAAACAACAGTTTTTATGGATATAGACTTCTATTTATTTTATTGAACACAACGTTTCATTACACATAATAATAATAATAATAAATAGAAGTCTATATCCTTAAAAACTGTTGTTTCTTAATGTGCCGTGATACTTCTAAATGTCTTTCAAGGATTATATCGTATAATTCTTCTTCATAGATGCAGAATTAATTGCTAATATATAGGTAAAGGGCAATAACTACAAAATAGGACCGAAGCTTCAGACTACATTAATGATGCATGTAAAATATTAGCTCTACGATCGAAATCACTTGTGTGACAGGCTGTACATGTTCATGATCCTTCGATAGTTTGAAAACGGAAAAAGAGTTCTGGAAAAAGAAACCTAATTGCATACTGCATGGTGTTATCTGTCATCAATAGCCTAATCAGGTACAGTAAAGTCAAGCATTGAGCACTTATTTCATTTCATCTTTCTATTTTTAGGCTACTTCTTATCAGGTCAAATAGAACAATAAACAAGTATTTTCAAACACTATGACAGTGAGAAACCTTGTATACAGTGTATGGGGTAGCCCGAATGCTTAACCTGATCAGGGGAAACAAAAATAAGATGTATAACCCCCCCTTTCATTTCATTTAACTTGCTATGTTTGCAGTATTTAGGTCAAATTAACAAACCCGAACATTTCAGTTATAAATCAATATAACGGTTCAAGGTCCACTTGGTTTATATTGCACAGATTAGAATGTAACAAAAAGACACCACGATAACAGCCATTGTTATCATTCTCTCATTAACAAAGCTTGTTTGACAAACACAGAGTAATACAGAAGGTGTATTACTGAAGTAAACATATAATGTAAGTCTGTTTTACACAGTGCATTACTGAAGTAAACATATAATGTAAGTCTGTTTTACACAGTGCATTACTGAAGTAAACATATAAGGTAAGTCTGTTTGACACGGTGTATTACTGAAGTAAGCATATGGGGTAAGTCTGTTTGACACAGTGTATTACTGAAGTAAACATATAAGGTAGGTTTGTTTGACACGGTGTATTACTGAAGTAAACATATAAGGTAAGCCTGTTTGACACGGTATAATTCTGAAGTAAACATATAAGGTAGGTTTGTTTGACACGGTGTATTACTGAAGTAAGCATATAAGGTAGGTTTGTTTGACACGGTGTATTACTGAAGTAAGCATATAAGGTAAGTCTGTTTGACACAGTGTATTACTGAAGTACACATATAAGGTAGGTTTGTTTGACACGGTGTATTACTGAAGTAAACATATAAGGTAAGTCTGTTTGACACGGTGTATTACTGAAGTAAGCATATGAGGTAAGTCTGTTTGACACAGTGTATTACTGAAGTAAACATATAAGGTAGGTTTGTTTGACACGGTGTATTACTGAAGTAAGCATATAAGGTAAGTCTGTTTGACATAGTGTATTACTGAAGTACACATATAAGGTAGGTTTGTTTGACACGGTGTATTACTGAAGTAAACATATAAGGTAAGCCTGTTTGACACGGTATAATTCTGAAGTAAACATATAAGGTAGGTCTGTTTGACACGGTGTATTACTGAAGTAAGCATACAAGGTAAGTCTGTTTGACACATAATTATGAAGTAAATATATAAGGTAGGTTTGTTTGACACGGTGTAGTACTGAAGTAAGCATACAAGGTAAGTCTGTTTTACACATTGTATTACTGAAGTAAACATACAAGGTCAGTCTGTTTGACACGGTATAATTCTGAAGTAAGCATACAAGGTAAGTCTGTTTTACAGATTGTATTACTGAAGTAAGCATATAAGGTAAGTCTGTTTTACACAGTGCATTACTGAAGTAAACATACAAGGTAAGTCTGTTTGACACGGTGTATTACTGAAGTAAGCATATAAGGTAAGTCTGTTTTACACAGTGCATTACTGAAGTAAACATACAAGGTAAGTCTGTTTGACACGGTGTATTACTGAAGTAAACATACAAGGTAAGTCTGTTTGACACGGTGTAGTACTGAAGTAAACATATAAGGTAAGTCTGTTGTTTGACACGGTGTATTACTGAAGTAAACATATAAGGTAAGTCTGTTTGACACGGTGTATTACTGAAGTAAACATATAAGGTAAGTCTGTTTGACACGGTGTAGTACTGAAGTAAACATATAAGGTAAGCCTGTTTGACACGGTGTATTACTGAAGTAAACATATAAGGTAAGTCTGTTTTACACATTGTATTACTGAAGTAAACATATAAGGTAAGTCTGTTTGACACGGTGTATTACTGAAGTAAGCATGTGAGGTAAGCCTGATTGACACGGTATAATTCTGAAGTAAGCATGTGAGGTAAGCCTGTTTGACACGGCGTATTACTGAAGTAAGCATAATTATACAAAGCCTGTTTCACAACACAGAGTTATAGAGACTTACTGAAGAAAGCATTATTAAGATATTTTACTCTGAACCATTGTATCTGGATAATACGGTGGCTCACATACGACATATTTCACTTTTTATTTTGAATTGAAAACTTTAATTTTCACCTAGGTGATAGTTATTATCATTAAATGTGTGACGGCTGTGTACATCCTTTTCAAATTTTTCTGATATCAATTATCAATTTAATTACAATTCTGTCTTCAACATAATATTATACTGTCTTAAACAGTTGTAAATGCACTGAAAAATGGGAAAGGGGCAAAGTGGGAATAAGGGATAAAATGGGAAGGAGCATAACCGGACAGGGGCGAAATGAAAAGGGATAATATGGGAAAGGGACAAAATAAAAAAAAGGAAGAATCTGGAAGGGACACAATGGGAAGTGACGAAATGGGAATAAATTGGGGGCCATACAACAATCGAGACCCAGCACCAATTCACTCCAGGCGACAGGATTGCTATTGTATTAACCATTCGATTTATAGACGTATTCGGTCATGACACGATCAGAGGCGGCGCGAGCCTCTCCAGACTGGGGTACAAACAGGGGGCAGATTGGAGTGTCTGAGAGGGTACCTCCCCTCAAATGCGTGGGTCTAATGCATAAAAATCATATTTTTAAATGAAGTGTGGGTAGTTGCCCCATCCTCCCCCCACCCACCTCTGTTCTCACATTCTCTGTTTTGACATTGTCTAACAAATGTGGGTGTGGTGTTGAAACGATGATATGTGAGGGAAGTAAACAGTCATCTTAAAGTATCATGTTACACTTGTAGCAATGAAGTATCGGAGTACCAGGGGAGGTATAAAGGGTGTCAGCCTAGAAGAAGCTATATATACAGGATTCGCCAGTGATGGTGGGCTACTGTTACCTGAAACCCTACCAGTCATAGACAGATCTCAACTCAAACTATGGGCCCAACAACCCGACTACCGATCGTTAGCTTGCAAAATTGTTCCCTTATTTGCTGGAGATGAGCTTTCTCAAGAAGACTTGGAAGGTATATCATAACAGAAAACTCATATGGTATTTATTAAGACCTTTGGATAATCCTGACCACAGAAAACTGCCATTGTGCTGAGCACATCTGCAGCTCGTTCTAATGATAATGTTATTGTTAAGAATGATCAAAGACATCAAAATTTTTGTCATGTTTAACGTTGTCTTGATGATCCGTAAGGGAAATCAATTGCACCATTAAAAGCATCCTATTACGAAATTCGCCTTATACTTTGACAGACATTTAACATTAAGCCTATAGTTTACAGACCTTCCGTCGAGTACTCTGATTGGCTGTATTCTCTAAGGTACAATACAACCAAATCGCTGCATTGACAAACTTCCATCATTCAAGAAAAGTGACTTACAGTCAAAATACAAGACGCAGTTTGTAATAGCTTGACATTGTGAAAAAGTCTTAGAAGATGTCGCTTTGTGATGCGTCACAAATGAGCTGAACATTTGATTTTGAATTCTAAATTACTATGTCGTGAATTGTTATTTTTAGGTATTCTAGACAGAGCCTACAGTTCCATCTCTGCACCAGAGAAGATCCCGATACGGAGACTGTCAAACAATCTTATAATAGCAGAGCTATTTCATGGTCGGACCTGGTCGTTTAAAGATTACGCGATGTCCGTCATGGGACAGTTACTGGAACATTTCTTATCTCGGGCTAAAAAACATCGGACATTGTTGATAGGTAAGTGTTGATGATATTCACATTACTGTAATCATCTGTCCATAGATACTAGGATTCCAATTCCTCCAACTCCAGAAACAAACATGTTACTGGAAGTATTGCAAGAACAAACATGAACAGTCTAATGAATGAAGAAGGTCTACTATTGTGCTGGGATGATACTTTGGTGAAAAAACTGTCGAAGGATCTTTAAGGATCTAGTTTTTTTTTTAAAAAAAAAAAAAGTTAAGGAGCGTCAGTGTGTAAATTTACTTTGTTCTCCATGAATGGACGCAGTGTTAGCCGTTTCGAAATAGTTTTGAAAAGGCTTAGCCACAATTCCTGCTTTGTGAAACCTGTGCCCCATACCCTCAACCCCACTCAATTCTGTTTAAAGAAAGACTTTATTGTTTTCAGCTGATGGTAGCTCAGATGATATGGATGATCTATTTAGTCATATCTATGCCGATGAAAAGTTTGTGAAACAACACAATATCTCGTCGTTAAATTCAGTCAACTGGGGACGAATTATGTTACAAATTGTTCATTACTTCTATATTTACCTTCAGGTATGTTCATTACATTAGCAACAAAAGACAGAAGTTGGTTTACAAAGATAACAACCTAGGTTCACAAAGATTCTTTCTATAAGCTGGTTCTCAGCTAACCCATTTAAGACTGGACAGGAGCCTATTCAAGGTCTCCAGACTTCCACGCGCATACCGAGAACCCACGAGTACCACAATCAAGCAAAAGGCGTCACACCAATTTTCTTGTCGATTGTTTCGGCGTATTCCTTGTCAAATAATACTGTACAAGCTCCACGATTCCAAGATTAGTGCTTTCGAATGTCGGAACGATGTAATCTTCCAACCCCACTCTCTTTCCCTGTTTATCTTACAGATAGAAGAGTCGTGTGAAAAGGAGTTGGAGATTGTGGTACCCACAGGTGGATGTGGTAACGTAACAGGTACGTTCATCACAACTTGATTCATTTTTGTCGACAAGGAAGGATTCATAGATATATTTTAGCAATTGCGTTGCGCCATCAGTACTTTGCCAGGACTGCTCCTTACATCACTCTACTTTAAGTTTCAGCTCATTATCATATTTGAAAAGCTAGTGTCTATCTTGCGAATCATCGCTAGTCCACTTTAAGACGTATTATTTAATCATCATTATCATCATCCAATTAAATCGTCATCTAGAACCACCATCTCCATCGTCACCATTGTTACCATCACCACCACCATCATCGTCACCACTACCACAACCATCGTCACCACTACCACAACCATCGTCACCACTACCACAACCATCGTCACCACTTCCACGACCATCATCACCACTACCACAACCATCGTCACCACTACCACAACCATCGTCACCACTACCACAACCATCGTCACCACTACCACAACCATCGTCACCACTACCACGACCATCATCACCACTACCACAACCATCGTCACCACGACCATCATCACCAACTGCACCATCACCACCATCATCAACATTGCCATCATCATCCAACACCCCAATCTATCATCACCACCACCATCATCATCATCATCAACATTGCCATTATCATCCAACACCCCCATCTATCATCACCACCACCATCACCATCATCATCACCATCAACATTGCCATCATCATCCATCATCCAACACCCCCATCTATCATCACCACCACCATCACCATCATCATCATCATCAACATTGCCATCATCATCCATCATCCAACACCCCCATCTATCATCACCACCACCATCACCATCATCATCAACATTGCCATCATCATCCATCATCCAACACTCCCATCTATCATCACCACCACCATCACCATCATCATCATCATCAACATTGCCATCATCATCCATCATCCAACACCCCCATCTATCATCACCACCACCATCATCATCATATTCACCACCACCATCACCACCATCGTCACCACTACCACAACCATCGTCGCCACCATCATCATCCTCTATCTAATACCATCATAACTGTTACCGCCATCATCCAACATCTAGCACCATCATCATCATATTCACCATCATCAACATAATGATTTTCGCCATTGTTATTTCCAGCGGGCTGTATAGCGAAGTTAATGGGATTGCCTATTAGATTAACTAGTTGTGTCAATGAGAATGATACAGTTGATAGATTGATTAAAACTGGTACCTTGTCGTTAAACCCGGTCAAACAAACCATTTCACCATCTCTCGATATACAGGTAGCAACTTTTATAGAATTGGATTTTCTTGAGATCACATGAAGACTTCGTTGGTGTTGTAATGATAAAAGTCGATCTGACTTGCAAGTACAAGGTCGTAGAGCAATCGAAGTTGAATAATGGCATATGGGGGTCGGGTGGATTAAAGAGACCCTTTGGTTTGGCCGCGCTACGGCATTGAAATGAAATGAAATGAAATCATGGAGTTTTACGTCTTACTGCACCTATTTGAGCTAATGGAGACGGGCAACGACATGCGCAGAGAAATTTTGTTACGGAGCTATCGCAGGTCCCAAGTTACGATAATGATAAATTTTTATTAACTCCAGATGCCGTACAACATGGAGAGAATCTGGTTTTTATTGAACAATGGTGATGGTGAAATGATAAATAAGATAATGACAGAATTAAAAACACACTCCAAATGTCAGTTACCGGATTCTTTACATACAGAGGTATGGGATTGAACACATTGTCCAAAAAACACTTTCGTTGGCCATCTTTATAAATATATTAAACTTGTGTTAGTTGGTGATGAGAACGTAGTCTCATAAAAGCACTGGCCTAGGTCACTAAATAAAGATTCGTGCTAAAAACCAGGTGCAAAAGTTTAGAAATATTAGAGATTAATTATGTATGGCTAACATTAAAGTAATATCATTTTTCTTGGTAAAATTTCTGATAAAAAAAAAACTGATGGTAAATCCTGTAAAATGAAATCTTTTAACTCTTAAAGCCCATTTTAGATTAAATGGTTCGATGTCGACACCAGACAGACTTTCGGAAGCACTGGCTATGACATCAGAATTGTTCATACCTTGAGGTGATTCGAACACACGGCACCTAATGTCTTCCAGCAGAGGACAAACCAACTCACTGTGGACTTATCTATTCCTTAGTAAGAACTAAACGAAACATCAATACTGTGCATCGACCTCAATTTTTCAACCTTTATATTTCAGCTGACCAAAATTTTTGGTTCATTCAGTGCCGATGAAGATGCCATTAAATCAACCATAAAGAGATGTTATGATGAAAATAAGTACACCATTTGTCCACATACAGCAGTGGGCGTGGCTTATCATTATCATCAATTACAGTAAGTATGGATCGGGTGGGCAATCATATAAGTAGTTGTGACGCACAGAGGGGTTTGACAGGGTTGAGGCGGGGCGGGACGGGGCGTAGAGTTGGACACAGCTAAGTTTCAAGTAATGTACCTCAAGAACACTGGCCAAGGTTCGCGTTTTTTTTTATTCTTTATGGTCAGGTTTACGTCCGAGGGGGGAGGGGGCGCGAAATATCTGAAATTGCCCGAAATGCAAACCTAGTTGTGAAATTTTTGCCCGAAAAACTTGCTTTCAGGGCTGTGAGGGGGGCGGCTACCCTACCCTGTACGTATCCTTATTAGGGTTAAACAATGCGCAACATACACGCAAATATACGGTAGAAGATGTGTTGACCCAATCCTGTTAGAGAGTAAAACAATTTTCTATATTTTGATTGTTCTTGCAATGTACTAAAAATGTATTTCCACTTCCAGAAAAAATACAGAAGCTGACGTCAAACGAGTTGAATTAGCAACAGCATCACCCGCCAAATTCCCTGAAGCTCTGGGACTAGCAGGAGTACCACCAACAGAAGGGCTGCCCCAGTACCAAATGGACAGTCTTAAAACCCTGCCTACCCTACCTACTAAGTACCAAGATCTGGAGAAAGGAGACGACTGGTTGAAAGCATTAAAACAGACCATTATATCTATAGACGAAAGATGGACAGTGTAATCCATACCAGCTTTTTTTCCAAATTAAATATTTTCTGAAGAAAAAGAAGAATTTGCCATCAAATCTCCATTTAGTGGATATACTGATGAATATATACACTTGGTGGCCACGTTTGAGACTTTAAAGTGTATGTCCATTCTAGAAGGTAGTATTTTGTAACCATGACACCTGGTAAGTCCAGCTGATGAATATATACTCTTGTTGACCACGTTTGAGGCTTAAAAGAGTATGTCCATTCTTAAAGGGTAGTATTCCTTTAAACCAGACAGAAGACAACTGAATTTAATTACCTTTCTCGTGATTACCAGAAGATAATTGATTAAACCTATTCAAACTGTTAGCCTTAAGTCATAAGCTTTAAAGTCTATAGAAAAAAATCAACATCACATGAAACTGGGAAGCGTTCAATAGCTATCCTGAGAATGACCAGATTATGAATCCAATGATTAAAAGCTAAAAAGACCTTACGCCCTGAAAAATCAATTTCGCACAATATATAGTTTGATAAATGTTCAAGCACATCGAAAAATGAAATGAAATGGATTGAGTTTTAAGTCCTACTTTTCTGCACCATGTGCGCTAGATAATGAAAAGAGGCAACGCCATGCAGGGTACAATGAGGGAAATTTTGCAAGGACAGCAGCAATAGTCTTCTCTTTTTCGATTTTCAACTGTCGAGGGATCTTTAACGCGAACAGCCATTAGCACCCCATCACATCCGAAATAACAAACACATCGAGAACCATTCAAGATGTACATATAGTCAAAAACAGTCTGTTTTGATTTCAGCTTCATATTAATTGAAAGTAGTAGTTGTATGTTGAGCAGCTGCGACGGGTGTGATGGCAGACAGGATATGTTAACTCTTCTAGACACCTGATACCACTTTTCATTATGAAATAGTACTCATTAAGATTGATATACTTCCTCATGAGAAAAATTCATTATCTGCTATCAATGTGTTGCCAGTATACTGTTTTGGAATTCGGGATTCGTTTTGCGTTCGTTTGGTTTATGTTTTATTACCAGTCATCTCACTAAAATGACATAGAGTACCAACAGATCATGTTAATGTTTAGCAAGAAAAACAATCAGTAGATTTACGAACTTTTTCATTTTCATAACAAAATATTCAACAAGGTAACCATGAAAATAACAAATTTACAGGATATTCTGTCTATTTAGACAACTGATATAATGAAACATAGGTTTGAGAGAAGGTTCAATTTAAACTATAAAATAATTTGATTAGAATTTGTGGCAACAATATTAAGGTACTGATGTCTATTAATGTCTATTAAATTAATGTCTATCTAAATGAAAAGAGCCATTTCAATAAAATCAGAATCAACAGAAAAATTAATTTTCTTTTGAAAAATACACAATTTGATTTTAAAATTATATTGATAAATTTTGACTTTGGCTATTAAACCATTGGTCATTTTGGCAGTAAACTGTGATGCAACAATGTGTTAAATGAACCTTATCCTTGGAACCCAACTAAGGGAGTTGTATAATCAAGTAAATCATTTGATCACCATAAACATGAACAATTTACTTCATTTTAAGGTGGTAAATGAAAATACAGAAGTTAGATGTATATTATATCCTGGCAATGTATTCTCAAAACAATCTTAGTGCTAGGATAGGGTCTTTAGTCATAACACTGTTTCTGGGATATCCTAGGGTCTTTAGTCATAACACTGTTTCTGGGATATCCTAGCGCTGGGATTGTTTCGAGAATACATATCCAGTATATCTAAAGCATGAGTCAGTTCACTAGATATATTTGAAATATTTATACAATAGTTTTCAAACTGAATGTAAAATTTGAAAATCACATTTAGATTTTTTTTTTTTAATTTTCAGCAATGCTGTTTACACAACAAAGATTACACTTTCATTGACATCAAGTATTAATGTAACAAGTGGTTGCCTAGCAAGATACGCCCACTTTCCAGATACATTTTCAGTATATCAAAGGTGGTCACCAATTCGTGTCAAATCACACCAAAAATCTAATTTGTACAAGATATTGTTGATTTAAACAAACACACATTATTTAATAAAATTCTGACATAAACTGTCACCTCTATCGATAACAAATTTTAATGCAGTTTTTACTACGTCATGGGCAATAACTCAAATTCCGTTGATCGAAAAATTGTCAAATTTTATCTCGACTAAGCTCTCATCATTATAAATAATCATACCAAATTTCATTTAAATCGGATTAAAACTGTACTCTCTATTGTGTTCACAAACAAATTTTGATACGTTTTTCATAAATCAAGGCCAATAACTCAAAAACCGTTCATCGAAAGATAGCTAAAATTCGAACTTGTCCAAGCTCTCATCAATATAAATGATCACACCAAATTTCATTCGAATCAGATGAAAACTGTAGTCTCTACTGCGTTCACAAGCCAATTTCAATTCGTTTAGGCTAAGTCAAGGGCAATAACTCAAAAACCGTTCATCGAAAAATCGTGAATATCGAACTTGTCCAAGATCTCATCAATATAAATAATCACACCAAATTTCATTCGAATCAGATGAAAATTGTAGTCTCTATCGCGTTCACAAGCCAATTGTGGACGGACGGACAGACATGGGTGACGACAATTTACGTCCACATTATAATGTTAACGCAACATTTTCAGGAAAGCATTCTCAGTCTTCTTGACAATGATGCTATTAAATTATTTTACAAAATATACACATTACTTAACAAAAATAAAATCAAATAATATAACTTGTCCAGTTATTACGAAAAGTAAGATTTAAAAAAAAAATACAGTCATGTGACATCCCAGGTTTTGAAAAAAGTGGAAAATCACAAATTTCAGGGCACAACATATATATTATTCGGAAATGCTCATTTGAATTTGCAAAACATACATTAATAAAAGAAATGATTTTGTTAAGACTTAAATATCTAAACTGTGTGGGGTTTTGATCACATCACATACAGGCAACAATTTCAAGAAACATTGGTATATTTCGGAAATAAAACAAACATCCATTTGTATATGGGGCAAAATTTGTTTTGCGTTGTAAAAAAGTTTCTACTGCAATTTTCATTTGTTCAATCAAATCAGTTGTTTGTTTTGTTCATTGTTTGTCAATTCATCTTCTCATGCAAAATACAACATATTTATAAAAACAATCACTTCATTTTGATAAAATTATGCTTAGACATGGCACTATTTCATCTTATTCTTCCATCACATGTTTAAGGCGTAGTCTGGTTTTGAAGGTTCCATTATTTTCATTTATGAAAATGAAAATGTTAATACTTATATGAATAGAAAGTAGAGGTGTTCTAATGACTTGGAAAAAATACCAGTTTGTCTCACATGTCTCACATTAATTCATAATTAGCTAAATTAGAAGAGAATTCCAATGAGTGACAGATCAAGAAAGGTCAAAAAGCCTTTTTTTTGTTTATCCAGACTGTCCATACATGAACATTAATGATTGGTTAAAACTCTTAGTTATATGTGAAAAGAACATAATGATATGATTAAGAATACATGATTATTCATTAGAAACACAAATTGATCAAACCCATCTTTAAATGCTCAAATTATTAATAAAATAGACCATTCATTGTCCAATTGAAATGTTATGTCCAAAAAATGTTCGGGATTCTCAAACATTTAAGCTGTTCTGTCAATCATGTCCGGAAAACAAGACAAATCAGCAGCCATGCTTTCTTTTGATGGCATTTCTTGATACAAATCAGTTTGGCGATTACAACTTACTTGATCACTGGTCAAGTATCCAGCATTCTCTACTTTTGTTTTAAAGGGACAGATGCACCATATTGTGGGTGTAGATTTGTGTCTTAAATATATGCAAATAGTCTTCAGAAGTACTAAAAAATGTACGAAAATCTCATATTTCCTTTAAAAATACTTCAAACTAGGAATTTCTCTTTCTGTTTCTCAATATGTCTTTTCTAATTATGGCCTAGTCTCAAGAAAAAAAGTGTCCTCTTTTTAACTTTGAAAGTTTCAAATTTCAACAGGGAGCTGAACATCATCACTGAGCTAAAAAATTTGTGTTTCTGAGTCTTAAGTATGATTGGTCAAAAAAATGGCGCAACTGTCCCTGTCATCTGTCATGAAATAATGAAATAATACAATGAAGTATGACAAAACATGTTTAAACTATTAATTTTCATAATCTCCAAACTTCTCAACAAGTTGTAAAATAAGGTTACTCTTAATCAGATTTCTCCAACGATCTTTACACTGTGGTCCAGTTTTAGCATTTCGTATGTCCAGCTTGATATTGGCCCATCTTCCTACTCCATGTTTTTTTACAGCATGGAATAAGTCTTCATCTTCTTCTTTTGTCCACTTCTTTCGACCACTAGAAGCTGTCACAAAACTCATATTGAATGACTCTTTAGCTTTATCAGAATATTGCCCATCTGGGGGTGGAGCTAGACTTTCACGTGAAGGTAAAAATTCAAATGTCTTTTTAGGGATTTTACTTGGTACTGAAAAAATAGGACATAAAATTAAGTAAAGTTTTCTACAGATATCCAAATGATGAACCTATGTCTGCAAAACATTGTTTTTTTTTTTGTTCCAAGCAAAATGGTTCAAATTAAACTCGTTTGAATTTAGAAACATTTAATTAAGAACAAACCGCGATCGCTCAGCGAGTTAGACTTTCCAGGGTTCAATCCCTGCATACGTCGAGATGATACCTGCGGATTTTTCAACCCGGGTTCCCCCTGTCAGTGATGAAGGAAAAGAGGGGATGACATGGAAAAAGCGTCTAGTCGTTTGGATGGGACAATAAACCAAGGCCCCGTGTGCTACAGGCTGTGCGCGTTAAAGATCCCTTGACATTTGGAAATCGAAAAAGAGCAGAATTTCCCTCATTTTACCCTGCATAGTAGCCTACATGGTGCAGAAAAGTAGGACATAAAACTCCGTTCATTTCATTTACATATAGCTCTGAAAAAATTTAGACGAAAATTTCCACTTACTTGGTTCAGGATCATAACTTTCATTATCGGAAGATGACTGGATAGGTTCATGTCGATTCGCTCGGTTTTTATTTTTACGATAAACAAACTTATTCAGACTGCTGAAAGAATAGCATACAAAATTTCTGTTTTAAATCTTCAATGGTTTCCAACCTTTTTCTGTCTATTATTCCTTTCAGCACCCCAGTCTCTTTAGAAATTCTTAATATTTCATAACTTTTGGTTAGGTTTTCTATGTAATATTTTTCACGTTGGAGAATATAGCTAGATTGAATAGAATGGCTTAGATTATAACTCTACAAAAACTATAAAGAACTTCATATTATGACACCTTGCTAGGAGAAGTAATATATACCCACTAACATAGATGTTTCCAAATAGTAACATATGCTAGAACCCATAACTCAAAATATTTTCTGATTTTGATGATTTTCAATAGTGTTTTTCCTTGATTGATAATGAACAATATTACCTTGTTACATCAAAATCTGTCAAGACTAGTGCTCTTGAGCACACTGTGGTGTAATACTGCCCACGTATTCTCGAACCGATCTTAGCGCTAGGATATCCTTATCTCCCGATATTGATTCTAGGACATCCTAGCGCTAAAATCGTTTCAAGAATACGTAGCCTGGTTATTTTGGTAATACTGGCCACAATTTCTCGAAACAATCATAGCGCTAGGATGTCTTAGGTTCTTATCTCTTAACATTGATTCTAGGACATCCTAGCACTAAAATCGTTTCGAGAATACGAACCTGGTTACTTTGATAATACTGGCCACAATTTCTCGAAACAATCATAGCGCTAAGATGTCTTAGGTTCTTATCTCTTAACATTGATTCTAGGACATCCTAGCACTAAAATCGTTTCGAGAATACGAACCTGGTTACTTTGGTAATACTGGCCACAATTTCTCGAAACAATCATAGCGCTAGGATGTCTTAGGTTCTTATCTCTTAACATTGATTCTAGGACATCCTAGCACTAAAATCGTTTCGAGAATACGAACCTGGTTACTTTGATAATACTGGCCACAATTTCTCGAAACAATCATAGCGCTAAGATGTCTTAGGTTCTTATCTCCTAACATTAATTCTAGGACATCCTAGCGCTAAAATTGTTTCAAGAATACGTAGCCTAGTTATTTTGGTATCTTAAATCTGATTGAACAGAAGCAAGAAATAATAAATCAATTAGAATATTCTGTATCAAGAAGACTCAAACCTAATTAATAAGAGCTGTAAGATACTAACTTTGTTTTTTCTGGACTAGAAGTTGGATTAATATTAATGTTGTTTTCTTTTGGTTTACCAATAGATCTGTAATAAAACTATATCAGTGTCTATGACTGACTTATTAACATTTCATTTCATCAAGCAATTCCTTAACTTACTAACTTATAACAAAGTAAAGAAACAATCTATAATTTTTACAAAGATAACAACTTAGGTTCACAAGGATCCTGCCAAAACCTTTTGGCATTGATAAATCCTGGAATGTCTATACCCATTTACAGCTGGGTCAACTGGAATAATCAGGACTTCTTCATCAGACGTTCACATCCATAGCGAGATTAGAACAAACAACAACCATTTGTTTCATGTAAACAAGCAAATGAGGTCATGTAGAGATTCCAACACTCTGACCCCATGTGCTACAACCTGTTCTCTTTATTGTTAAATTCATGTTCATGAGACAAGAAAAAGTCTGAATACAATAAAATGTTTCATGCATTCAACACAAAGTCCTATAGTCAGAGTACCTGTTTTAAATCACACAGTGTCAGTTACCTTCCATTATAATATATCTGTTCTGAACACTTCAGACATTAAAATAGGGTAATTTGCAGTCATTTTGTTATTTCTATATACAATTATTTAATGAGTAGAAATGACAATGTCACCTTTTACTAGGAGATTTTTGTTCAGGAGATTTTCTGGATGTAGACGACACTTCTTCATGGAAACTTTCACCTAAATAGAAATTGACTAGAGATTATCTCCTCTTCGAAATAAAAACCTGCTAAAAATGTCAGATTGGCAAAAAAAATTAATCAACATCTCTGCTCTGCACACAAAGTTAGTAATAACTTCCATTTAAAAAAAAAGGAGAGAGTAATATCAGTCAAATATATAACATACATGTAGGTTACACCAATATTCGAACATTTCTTGTAAATTTATGCAGGATTCTTTGAAAAATAAACAGATTTGATGCGATAAAGCCTTACATACCATTTTGTTTAGAAGGTTGACCAATGTTATTATTACTCTGATCTCCTGTTACTGTTTCTGATTCTTCTAACATCTCATTGATCTTCTAGAAAATAATACAGGATAGATTGTCTAAATATTTGCTATAAAACCCTTTAAAAGCACACTTCAAAATAGAATATATATTAAACTACCAGTTGAGAATTAAACGTTGGTCTCACTAGCATTATTTGTGTGTAAACACAGTTGATCATGTGACAAACTGAATAAAGTCATTTATGTATGTTTGTGGCGTGATCAACTGCGTTTACACACCAATAATGCTAGCGAGACTAACGTTTAATTCTCATATTTATATTCAGATACTTTTATTAACACAATTTTCACCTGTTTATATGATCCGTACCCTGAATTTGGCACAAATTTTAGATTGCATCATTGTTGTGCTTTGATGACTTCATAGTATCATGAAAAAAAATTGTAATTATAATGTAACTGATCAAATTATCACGTCTTTCTCTGATTATGGATTCAGACAGAGGGTTAAAGATATGAAAGTTAAGAAGCAAACCTCTTTATACATTTTATATATAAAATTAAACTATTTGAAGCCCAGGCTTGACTAGAATCTCACCTGTTCCCGTTGATGAGTTATTACTGGTAGATCTGTAATATCTGTATCTCGTATCTTACCATTATTCATCTTCAATAATTCACTAGGCTTAATAACTCGCTTCTCATTCTTATTTAAACTCATACGATGTTTACTGTACACCTCACAAATCTGTTACGAGAGTCAATAAACAAATTAAGAATTAGGGGCTTTGTTCTCCATATGTGACCCGACACCACAAATAAGTCTCATGGGGCAAAATGGAAGTATTAAGTTACATATACCATTGGAAAGAAGAAAGTTTAAATGATACCAAAATATATTCATTATCTCAAAAATTGACTGAATTATTACACTTTTTTTACAGATACTTTTCCCGCTCAAAATTCAGCTTAGAAGTTATGGTTATGAAGTCCCTAACAATCAATGTCTAATGATAATAAAAACAATAAACAGGGGTTGTTACTGCTTCCAAGATGAAAGAACTACAACTTCTATCCAAAATATATAAATACCCCACCTGACCTTTAGAGGTTGCAGCTCAAAATAAGTATGTGCGACAAGAGACTCATTTTATGGTGTCAGGTCATATATTTGAATTGAATAAAGCCAGACGTAACGCAATAATCTAATCATTTTATCAAATATCATCCAGCCCTTCTGAACCCAATTTCCCAAAAGACTGAGTACCCAAAATACACTTTGGCTGCTTGAAATGAGCTCTAATCCATTAAATACATTTAATTTGATCCTGTATTTGAGCCTCCCCTCCTAAACAGTACTGTAATATACGACTCACTAACCTACCTTTAACAAAACCACAAGACAATATTATGGAATATAACACACTTCTTTAATAAGGTTGGCCACATAACGTTTCAACACAATATACACGTGTCGTCATCAGATGTAATGGCAAGAGAATAAAACATAACAAAATATATACCAACAAGAAACACGGTTTTGTTATATGTGCTCCTCGCTTCTATATGTCGTTCAAATCTTATACCTACCTTTAACAAAAGTGGTTTATTCCAAGTTTTAGTCAAAGGTTCAAAAAACTCGACCATCTCATCCAGAAACTTGTCAAAACTATTTTCTATGACTAATTTATTATTCTTATTTCTGGATCGTAACATTGTTCTTAATTTAGCTGCCCAAGCCTAAAATGGTGAGAAGATTTTTTTTAAAATTGCATGGTGAATGCAGAATTGATTTTGTTACAAAAATTCAAAATAAATTGCATTTGCATGCCAATTGTTGTAAAATTATATTGTTATATTGTAGGTGAACTAAAACATTGCTAATATTAAGAAAGAAGTAGCATATCCATAATATTGTTTCTTTTTCATGTAATGTTCTATCTACTTTAATATGTCATGTCAAAGGTTATAAGTAGAAGTCATTGACATTGTTATTTTACCTTATCATAATCTGTTAAAATAGATGGTTCTTTATACTGTCTCTCAAACACATCTTCAGCCTTGGCAAAATCAGCCGCTTTATAACATGTCAATACAGACTGGAATAACAAAATCAGACACTTTATAACATGTCAATACAGACTGGAATAATAAAATCAGACACTTTATAACACGTCAATACAGACTGTAATAATAAAATCAGACACTTTATAACACGTCAATACAGACTACAATAATAAAATCAGACACTTTATAACTTGTCAATACAGACTGAAATAACAAAATCAGACACTTTATAACACGTCAATACAGACTGAAATAACAAAATCAGACACTTTATAACACGTCAATACAGACTGGAATAACAAAATCAGACACTTTATAACACGTCAATACAGACTGTAATAATAAAATCAGACACTTTATAACACGTCAATACAGACTGTAATAATAAAATCAGACACTTTATAACTTGTCAATACAGACTGAAATAACAAAATCAGACACTTTATAACACGTCAATACAGACTGAAATAACAAAATCAGACACTTTATAACACGTCAATACAGACTGAAATAACAAAATCAGACACTTTATAACACGTCAATACAGACTGAAATAACCAAAAATCAGACACTTTATAACACGTCAATACAGACTGTAATAATAAAATCAGACACTTTATAACTTGTCAATACAGACTGAAATAACAAAATCAGACACTTTATAACACGTCAATACAGACTGAAATAACAAAATCAGACACTTTATAACACGTCAATACAGACTGAAATAACAAAATCAGACACTTTATAACACGTCAATACAGACTGAAATAACAAAATCAGACACTTTATAGCACGTCAATACAGACTGGAATAACAAAATCAGACACTTTATAACACGTCTATACAGACTGTAATAATAAAATCAGACACTTTATAACACGTCAATACAGACTGTAATAATAAAATCAGACACTTTATAACTTGTCAATACAGACTGGAATAACAAAATCAGACACTTTATAACACGTCAATACAGACTGTAATAATAAAATCAGACACTTTATAACACATCAATACAGACTGGAATAACAAAATCAGACACTTTATAACACGTCAATACAGACTGGAATAACAAAATCAGACACTTTATAACACGTCAATACAGATTGGAATAACAAAATCAGACACTTAATAACACCTCAAATTTCATAATCGATTATATGTCAAAATTACATTTTCTCCACTATACATTACATAATCTCTTCCACATAGCTTCCCTTCAGCACATAACTTCCCCACGATTATTAATTGATTATTAATCAGTAGTCATACCTCTGGTAAGCTTATACATCTTATGCAATCTTTCACAATTTCATATTTCAAATCAAGTGAAATGTTGGATTAACTGGTGTTTCTAAAGAACAATTCAAGTACAAAATAAACGCTGTGATTTAAAAAGTATCATTACCTGTGCTTTGATCAGACTTCTATGATAGGAGCACTGTTTGGTTAGAGAATCATCAGACTTGAGAAATAATGACATGAATCTATCAAACAATGGAATTACTGTTTCTAAAACTGTCTTCTCATTCTCTTGTTCATTCTGATACAATGTGGTATAATCACTACCATCGGCTAGTCGACACATCAGCGTTAGAAAGTTTATTTTAGATGTTAACTGAGTGGATCTTAATGAAGGTAAACTCACTACACCTGCAAATAAAATAGAAATTAGTGCTTTTTGGGGGGCTATAGAAGTTTTATGTCCATAATTGGTATAAGCAATATTGTGCCAGTACTTATTTCATCTAAAAATATCAAAATTTTACAGAAAATCAATTGAAAATTAGGTTCAATTAATAAGATTGAAATGGTTGTTCATTTTCTGTCTACTATAACTGGTTTTCACCATATTGTCTGATGTAATGAACAAATGTAAAGTGCAATGCCATGCTAAGTGAAATGAGAAAACTTTGTGAGCAATAAATTTTGGACATTGACAATATTCCCTCTAAACTTTCTAAGTTTCCTTTAGTTGCCTACATATGTAATTGTATAGAGCAGGCTAATAAATAGACTCAAAAATTTCCATCAATAAATTTCCAATAGAGGAAAATTATCTCCCTTTACAAAAGCTGTCAAGAGATGTACAGTCACGCAAATTTATGCTCCACGATTTGATTTTTACCAGCGGGGTTGTTAATTCATAAACAACAGTGCCGATTGAATTTGTCATTCATATTAGGTCTAAGCCTATACGATTCGGTCATTTGAACCTTTCAGTTTATTTCAATTTTCATATTTCATATTTGAACTTTTTTTCCAATTCTTGGCATTCTCAATTTAGGGGTCATGTAGACTGGTTAGGAAATCTGAAGCAAGGACAAACCCTGGATAAGATCTCTTGTGTTGACAATATCCACTTTTTTGGTTGACTGAAATTGTTTCCACACAATTTCACAAACATATTCAACCATCCACGTATTTGCAATTTCTTCTGCCGCCATTTTGGTAGACTTGAACAGCCTTGTCTTAAAACTTCTCACCATTTCTCTTGTACGTCCTGTAAAACGAGTCTTTTCTTTAGCGCGGATAGACTAAACACCAAAATGAGGCAAATATTCCATAACCTTACCATAATATCGTATCATAATAACAGATGCGCTTGTCTATTAAGATTAAAATAGCTTCTAAGTAAAGTTTGGACTAGCATAAGAAAATTAATCTGCAATTTATTTCAAGATAAGACCACTATGATAGTCTGCGAACGTCAAAGACAACTTATTATGCCGCTATCCTAACAAATATTCATATAGACTAGTCGGTGACGTTTTTTATGAATCATTAGGTTTAAAAATGAAATGAATGGAGTTTTACGTCCTACTTTTCTGCATCATGTGGGGTGGTGACGACGGACAACGCCATGCAGGGTGCAATGAGGGACATTTTTCTAGGGCAGCGGCATTGCCCTGCTCTTTTTCGATTTCCAATTGTCCGGGATCTTTAACGTGCACAGCCTGTAGCACACGGGGCCTCAGTTTTTTGTCCCATTCGAACGACTAGACGCCTTTTCCATGTCAGCCCCCATCTCTGCGAGAAATCGTTTTAATTTTGCCTTTGTATGTGCAGTACGTGTGTGCACACACACTAGAGTCCATCGCTAGAAATAACCTCCATGTAACTATGTTACATATGTTGTATGTCCTATGGTGAACAGTCGAAGTGGGAAATGATCAAAAGGTGAAATATATATTTCTGGGTTTAACATATTTTCTATGTTTATATTTAGATGACCACCTTGAACCGACTTTCACCCCACACAGCAGGGTCCAGACGTTCTACTTGTATTTCCTACTTTTAGTTTTGAATTTGAAGAAAATATTTTGTATATTAATTAATATTTCTAAATGTGTCAAAATCATTTTTAGAATCTTACCTACTGTTATAAATCAGCATTGACTAAATCTTCCATTTAAAATTGTTAAGAATTTACAAATGACTAATTTGACTAAATATGATTTTACTATTACATCTAATGCTATGAAATAATCAAAAATATGATATTATAACAAACTCTCACTTAGGTAAAAATAAGAAAATATTTTAGTGCCACGACCTTTACTTCAGGGGCGTTTTAATGCCGCCACCCCCTTCAATCCCCAGTAAAACAATTAGGCAGTTCTTAAATGCCTAGTACTATTGCCCCCATTGACAACCATGTGACCCCCAATCGGCCCCTCCAGCTTTGATTTCAAGAATAGATTTTTCAAACCCGTTCACCCAAATTCCAAAAAAACCTCAATAATGGGGATTGGTGTCTTTTGTCTGCAACTCAACAATTGTGAATAGTGTGACGGTTAACAGTATTTAAAGTTTGTATCTTAAATAATGCAAAAACACGTTTGAATAAATTTACTAAACCACAATAACAATAATAGTCTATTTGTATAACCTAACACTGAATCACCCAATATTTAATATAATTCTTAATACAAATAAATATTCAAATAGGGATGGCCTCGTCTTACTATTGACAACACACACAATGAATATATACAGACACTATCTTGCCAAGGGAGAAGCGCTGTTGTACGGTGGGAGGGGGTTTGAGTATCGGTACCCCCCCTCCCCATGTAACACCCGCCCCCCTCACGCACACCCCCTCACACACACACAAACTCCCCAATTGCAAATCAAGCTACTATAATCTTATACCCAGATTCTCCCCCCCTTTGACCACCCAACGAATAATGACCAACTATCCCAATATCCCCTACACAAAGACTGAATTTTGAAACAATAGCAGACGAACTTAATATCGTTTCCTTCTTGATCTTTATGCAGTTCCGCATAAAAAAATGTCGATTGTTTAGACGTCTCAAGGAAATAAGTGAACGAATGATAAAAATATTCGACAAATAAAAAGATGCTCTTGTAAAATATTTGGTTTCATTGAAATAGTCTATTTTCATTCATTTATTCAAGCAAAACAAATCAAAAGACTTAACAAAAAGTAATCATGATAGGAAAATATGTAAATTGTAACCTTGTAATGTAACTTATGTCTCTTAAATACTGTAGTCCATTTACTTCGTGACCATATTACTATGACCTATTTACCTTGTGACCAAATTACTGTGACCAATTTACCTTGTGACCGTATGACTATAGCCTTTTACACTGTGATCTACTACCTTGTGACCATATTACTGTCTGTAACCAATTTACCTTGTGACCGTATAATGTTACTGTGACCAATTCATCTTTGACAAATTACCGTGGCCAATTTTCTTTGTGACCATATTACTGTTACCTTGGGACCATATAACCTTGGGAATGTGACAAATTCACCGTGTGGTCATATTACTGACCAATTACTGTTGGCTTGTGACCATATTATTGTGACCAATTTACCTTGTGACCATATCACTGATCACTGTGACCAATTTACCTTGTGACCATATCACTGATCACTGTGACCAATTTACCTTGTGACCATATCACTGATCACTGTGACCAATTTACCTTGTGACCATATCACTGATCACTGTGACCAATTTACCTTGTGACCATATCACTGATCACTGTGACCAATTTACCTTGTGACCATATAATTGCGGCAATTTACCTTGACCAATTTACTCTTTGACCACACTAGCGTGACCAATTTACCTTGTGACTATGTAACTGTGACCAATTTACCTTGTGACCATATAATTGCGGCAATTCACCTTGACCAATTTTCTATTTGACCCTACTAGTGTGACCAATTTACCTTACCATATCACAGTGACCAATTTACTGGAGCAAACATTACTGTGACCAATTTATCTTGTTACTTAAGAATCCATTTCACGTGACTAATTTTCTGTTCTGTGGCCCCTTTGTATATTGGTGAATTTTCTTTAAATTGTGGTTTATTAAATTCACGTTTAAAGTTCGAATTCATATTTTGTACTAACTGGTGACATGTTTACAAATATCAACGATATAGGTCTATAGTTCATGTCATGCTTTTCTAACATTGGTTCAAATGTTAATTAACTTGTAAAACCATTGAGTAAATATTATATAGTGTTAAACTTTCAAATCCACATTTTATACATAGACCAAAACTTCTCTTATAAACCGACTCGGTCCGAATGTATTCTTAACCCCAGAAGATCTCTGTTCCAGCAGAGCTATCATTCGACAATCCTCGGCACTTTTCGTAAACCCGAATCTGTTGAAGAGCCTCAGCCGAACTTTCACGGTAGAGGGTTTACGGAGCCCGATTGTTGACTTTTAACTATTACAGGTAGACTTAAATGACAGTTAGATGTGGATAAATATAAAATGTTTATTTACTTAACACTGTTTTTTCCAATTTAAAGTCACCACTTCTAGAAACTTCAAATTTCAACCAATCAAAAATTAAACGACGAAACTCCAAACATGACGGATTCTATCAGCTCCAATACTGTACGGATTCTAAAATTAAAGGGCTATTTTGGTAGATTTTGAGCTATTGTGTTTTTTCTTACATTACTTAACGAACAAAATACTTCGGATTATGTTAAAGGTAGGGCAAATGGTCGATTTAATTTATGCGATATTGTATATTTATCACTATAGAATAATAAACTCATTGTTGCTGTTGGACAGTGGAAACAAAGGGAAACATTCGTCTAAAATCCAACAGAAGTTTCAGTTGAACATCTCTATGATTAGTGCTCGCTTGTGTAAAACTAGATGAAAGTTTCCCTTTAACAGTTCTTGAATAGTTATTTCAAAATCATTGATTTTTTTATCTTCATTGAAGCTATATATAAACCAATTCGGCGCTTTGTTAACATTTTGATATTTGATATGTACATTGCTGGATCTAAAGTGATATTTAAATGTGTACATCATTTTATGCGTTATATTATTCTTATTTCCTGTTAACCTGTTTCAATGGCGACTGCAGTGTAGGATATCTTCAGTGACACTGTTGGAAACTGGAAATAACTCACGGATTTCGACGATTTCGATTAAAAAAGACCCTGAAATTTGAAGAAATCTGAAATCTTTTTTTTTCGAAATTTTTAACGATTTTGATCAGTGTGTATTAAACGAAAGTTTTTACCAAAATTTTTGTGATTAAAGAAGTTTGAAGTTTAAAATTCAAAATGTTGGTTAAGATATTAACTATAGTAATAACAATCCTGACAGGAGGTGAGTTAAATCTATCTATATACATTAGAGTGTTTTTCATGTAATTTCGAACCTTTGCCTATTTCAATGTACAGGGCGGTATTCTTTTCCTTTTAGTAAATAATTCTTCTGGTCGAATTTCAGTCAAATCCGTCGACGTTTACAAATTGCCTAACGAATCTAAAGTTGGACTATTAAGAATAGAAACCTCAGACGCCAAACAACCAGTTACAAGTCACGTTTTCCAGTAACATTTTCTCTCGGTTTCAAGATTTCGATATAAGTAAGATGATCCCGGTGTTATTTGGAAGCCATAAGACTTATGGTAAGACCTTTTTCAGCGAGGCACAGAATCATCCATGTGATGATTATGCTGAAAATACGGGTGTTCAGAAATCTGTTTGAATTGGACTCTCATACGTCTAGCTGACAACAAAACGTCTAAACTGGTACCCTGTCGTGTTCGCTTATCTTCGTTGCGAAGCTTTAGATGAAATGGGGGACCAGTTTACAAAACGTCCAACAACAAAAATTGTGTCTGTGTATTTGTCGTGAAGGTTAATATACGTCACTGGTAAAATGATTCAGCCATACCTGCCTCTTTAAATGACCTCAAATTGATGATCGAAAAATATCTCAAATGAGAATAAAGGACTACTCTTTTTCACTCTGGTACTTGCACTGTTCGACAGAGATTTGGTAAGTTATGAAAGAGCCAATAAAGTGTGTAATACAGGGTCAGATGATCCAACTAACCGGACTGACAATCTTGCAGATAGAAAACTGGTCAACTTCTTTAAAACTGCCCGGAACGCTTTTTAACTGTCCTTCGGCCTTCATGCCTGTTGATCCAAAAGAATTGGCTAATAAAAAGAAACAGTTGCAACACTGAGACTTATGTATTTTGTAATATTTTAAAGCTTTCGACACATTGAATAGTTTTGGCAACGTTCTACCTCCATACACACCTTGATTATATAAAAAAAAGAATATTTGAAAACAGTTTAAGAACGCGTCATTATGTCAAAGTATTGTGTAAAAATTGCAAACCTGTTAAGATAAATATCGTTTTTTCTCAAGTGTTAACTCTGTCATCGGAACTAAGAACTACAGGAGTTATGATACGCTATATGCCACTTTCATAATATATTATGCATCAAAAGTTTGACACGTTGTAGCGGGAAAAAGATGATAAATAAGATAATTATTCAGGCGTCGGACATATTGAATCCAGAGTGAGGCTCATAACGCAAACCTCGAGTTGAAAAGGTAACGTTATGTCACTGCATAAAATTGTCACCTTGTCGTCTTCAAGCTCCCTTCTTCAATCCAACTAACTCAAAACTTATAATTATTTTACATCATTTATTTTGGAATTGATTAAATGATTTAATGATAGGAGTATTAAAGGGATTGTAAAGAGGTTTACTAAATTGTGTATCGCGGACACCACAGATGTCTGATTGAAAATTGGAATGATGCAAATTGATACTTTGAGCGACCCCGATACACATAAAAAGTAAGAAACCTCTTTACAATCCATTTAAGACAATTTATGCATATTCATCATTTTAATAGAGATATTTCTGATTTATTTTCAGTTGATGGATTTGGATCCGGAGCTCCGTTTGGATTATGTCTGACAATGTATCCACACCACAGAGGCACCCATCATCAGACCACACCCTCGCCCTTTAAAATACACGTTAGTAAAGCCACATATAGCCCCAGTGAGGAGCTGACAGGTAAGTTTGGTCAAGTTTCTTTCTTATTTTGTAAAAATATAATTCTGGAAAATCATTACTCTCTGTGACTGGGAACGAAATATGAGGTTCCTTTTCAAATCGGTGGTACTTTAAAGAAACGGGTTTTAGGTATATTGAGTTATATATAAATCGCAAGGAAAAACCTCCGCCGAAAACAGATGACGGTACAAATTTTAGCAGGCCTGTAACTAGTTACAAGGGGATCGGTCGCAATTGCACATGGGGAGGGGGGATGGGGGGGGGGGGGGTATCTGATAGAGACTGATTTCGGCTTCAATTGAGAATTTGTTCGAATTTTGCAGGGGGGAGGGGCGAATATAGCTCTAGGTAGGGCACCGCCCCCTCCTTACCAAAACCCCCCCCCCCCCCCCCTCGGTTAGGTGACCATGCAAATTTGACTTTCTGTAAGATTCTGAAATATGTGGCATGCAATGACCAATTTTATAGGGATGAGCTAGGTAGCACACTTAATCAATATCTTTTGATGAATCGATTTAAGTGAATGAGGAATCTGGGCTGAATACGATGCTCATCTGTATTTTCTGATTGATTTTCCAGCTGTAATTAAAGCAGACGATGATATGACATTTAAAGGTGTAGAGATGAGAGTCCATCGTGTATCGGGTAATACTGAGGAAATACTGGGAGAATTCACAGAGTACCCCAAAGATAAATTACAAACACAGAACTGTTACTTTGGTAAAAATGTAAGTAGTCTTATTCAATCATAAAACATCGTAACCTAAAGATTGTGAGTAGCACAGCGAGAACCAGGAGTTCGGGGTTATAAAAGATGAGCATGGCCTCACCCTTGGTTTGAGAAAGAACCGCCCGTCACTGGTATTGGTCAGAAAGGCTGACGAGAAAAACGTCTGACCATTCAGTTGTGCCCAAATGCCGTTTAAGATCCCTGACTACAAAAAGAATTTGCCGAGGTTGCTCCGTCTGCAAAAGTTTCCCCATGCTCTCTTTGTCCGTTTCCATTGGCTAATATGCTTTCAAATCGAAACTACACCAGGTGGCAATCTTATATTAAGTGATTAAGATGACTAGATGTCGAATTATACTGATTTTTCTGAATGTCGGGACTACTGATTAGTGTCGTAATTTGCCATTCACAGAATGTCAAGTTTTTTAAACTCACGTAAGAATGAAATCAATCGGGACCGGAAATTGATGTCTGATTACGCAGAATGTCGGAATACTCAGATATCGGATAACACACAGTACACTGTATCCATTTTTTTAATATTGAAATATCATCCTTTTACAGAACCTGATTACTCACAGCAACAATAAAACAGTAACCAATTTAACTATTAAATGGAAAGCACCACCAGATAATGTTGGCAACATTCTCTTTACGTAAGTCTGGCATAGTAATTTATCCGATTCTTCACAGGGCCTTTGGAGAAGTATATAGGGGCGCCTTAAAAGGTTAAAAGAGGTTATAAATCTTTTTCATGTGTATCGGGGCCATTTTCCCTCAGATGTCCGTGATTCCTGATATTCAGCTAAAATTTAATGTCAAAATTCACAAAAGCTTAAATTGCATGACCCACAGAATTGACTGAACATATTGCAGATTTCTCATTTGTAGTTACCCAGTTGTAAATGGGTAAAGATAATCCGGAAAATATCATTAAGATTTAGCCAAGGACCAGCCCATGGTAGGATCATCGTAATCCGAAGTTCTCCTTGTACAAAATTGTTATTCTTTCTTTCTTGAAACGGGATCTAATATTTATCTAAAAAAGCTTTTTATTAATTTAGAGCGACAGTGGTCCATAACTTTACTACTTTCTGGCATGATATAGAAACAGTGATCCAGCCCAATCATTCTGTAGCTGTTACACCGGCTCAATTTCAGGTCAGAATTTCTTTTTTCTTTACATAGGGATCTGAGATCTGAGACGAAGAACGGTTTTGTTCATGTTCCGGTTGTAATGTCTTAACGGTACGATGATAATGATCATCTAGCAACGGTACGATGATAATGATCATCTAGCAACGGTACGATGATAATGATCATCTAGCAACGGTACGATGATAATGATCATCTAGCAACGGTACGATGATAATGATCATCTAGCAACAGTGAATGATAATGATCATCTAGTAACGTACGATGATAATGATCATCTAGCAACGTTACGATGATATTGATCATCTAGCTGATCATCTAGCAACGGTACGATAATAATGATCATCTAGTCGTTGCTCTCACAACTCCCTCGATAGTTGTCTCTGAAAATTACCCTCATTGTACACTGCACTACTTTCCTTTGTCTCGTAGAAAAAAAAACAGATTACCAGTAATTATGTTTCCAATGTTTCTGGTTTATTGCAGTTGCCGAACTACACTTCCATATTTACTCAAATTTCATGGGAGACTTGTGGGAAGTCAAAAGGCTGTTTCTTTCACCCACCATCTTGTTCAGGTCCAGACTGTACCATTGGGGTATCGTACAAAATGAATCCAGATTCAACCTATTCGTTTGAAATGGTTGGACCGTCTACTCATGGAGAGGGTTGGATCGGAGTCGGGTTTTCAAAAGATAAAAAGATGGTAAGACTAAACTAGTTTTATATTTTACATATTCTTGGCCTAGGTTGGAAATGAAATGAAATGAATGGAGTTTTACGTCCTATTTTCTGCACCATGAGGGCTAATGAAGACGGGCAACGCTATGTATGATGCAATAAGGCAAAAATTGGACTGGACAGCGATATCAGCCTGCTATCTTTTCGATTTCCTACTGTCGAGGGATCTTGAACGTGCATAGCCTGTAGCATATGGGGCCTCGGTTTGTTGTCCCATGTCGGCTCCTCTTACCTGCATCACTGACAGGGTCAGTCTATCTCACTGAACCACCGCGGCCGCCTAGCCTAAGTTAGAGGAGAACATGAACAATCTTGCGAATCATCTAGTACCACTCTGTGACTTTGGTTCTTAACTTTTTGGAAACTTCATGTTGATGATAACGCATGTAAAGTTAATTTGGATTTACTGGATGCATTTTGGAGTTACATGTATTAGATGTGACCTTGTATATATCTATTCATACTGATTGATATCTTCACAATGTTTTTACGAACTTCTTCTTATAGCTTGACTGCAATAGCTACTATTCTTGTATCATGGATATACCTCTGATTGGTTGTATTCGCCGGCGTACGATGCAATCAGATCGCTGCATTCAAAAACTTCTGTGATACTAGAAAGGTGGCTTTTGTAGTCAAGGTATGAGAAGATGTTCATAATAGCTGTGACATTGTGAAGATGGTTGATTGAGGTTGGGTTTGAAAATAGCAGCACTGAGTCGAATTTCTTCACTATACAGAGCCTTCTAAGATAAAGACGCTCCAGGTAATAAATGTCCTCCGATGTTATACTATTTGCAGGGTGAGGACCTAGCTTTCCTGTGTACCACTGGTCCTGATAATGTGGAGGTTCAGTACACCTATAACCCTGATGTATGGAATGTTCGACAATACACGGTAAGTCGTCCAAACTCAATCTAAAAATATGTCTCGAATGATAAATGATTATGTAGATTTAAAGGGATTGTTTTCTAAAATTTTGATGTGTATCGTGGAAATTGATATCATCAATTTGCACCATTCCAAATTTTAATCCGCCGTCTGTGGTTCTGCAATTTCACTAAAACTAAGCGTTTTATGACGTCACTAATCGAAAAGTTTGATTTTGCATATTATACAATTAGTGATGTCATAAAACACTTGGTTTCATTTCATTTCTTCGCTGCATTGTAACACATTATGTCCTAATCCACGAGCGTGTAAAACGATTTAATTAGAACTATCAATCATGTGACCCAATAATATTTTTTGCCGAAGAAACTAACCAGAAAAAGTAAATGCATAACGTCTTCAAATTGAGTAAGAATAAATGTATTTAAGAAATGTAGAAGTCACACGATGATGATGATGATGACACACTAAAATGTTCCGATTGAGAATTAGAACAAAAATTGAAATTTTCATACATTTATCGCTAATACCATTTGTCCAATTCTTTTCATTGATATTGATCATTCTGTTTTTGATGCAGTACAATATTTTCAAAATGGTCTTGTTTCTAAAATTCCAGTAGAACTTCGCTTTTACGCCTTCACATATACATGTACATGTATTAACAATACTAGGCTTAATGCAGCCTCTGATAACCAGATAACTATTTGGACAGATGTCAAAATATCCACCAGAGACTGGCACAGAGGAAGATGTTTCGGACTACCATACACCATATTTCTTTCAGCAAAATTTTACAAATGTCGAAACCAAAAAAGAAGATGGTCGATTATTTTGTCGCTTCACCCAAAGTTCTTTGCCGAGATTTGACGATAATGGTGCTGTGAACTTTAACCTTACAGAGAAATGGTATTTATTTTTAGCTTATGGTGGGACGCTTCCACGTAAGTATATATCGACATTTTTAAAGCGATGAACAGAGAGCATACATACAAGTGCACGGTTAAAAGGGGACAAGGTTAAAGAAATATAGATCCATTATTCATTCGAATTCACAATCATAAATGTCAGTAAGTAATTTGCACGTGCTTTTCATCTAAACTAGAATATTGTTACATTCATGCTTTCATGAAATTGTTCAACCAACATACTTCACTATGCTTTCCAAAGTCGTTTACAGTGGTTTGATACTTTTTACTTATATTACCATTTCGTCGATCTTGGTTCAAAAATTAAATGCAATGAATGGAGTTTTACGCACTACTTTTCTGCACCATGTGGGTTAATGAAGACGGGAAACGCCATTCAGGGTGCAATGAGGGTAATTTTGCCAGGACAGTGGCATTAGCCTGCTCTTTTTTTAATTTCCAACTTGTCTAGGGATCTTCAAAGTCTACAATCTGTAGCACACGGGGCCTCACCGGGCGTTCTGCAGAGAGTGGAACAAAGAGAAGCGAAATATCTGAAGCTGCATTTTAGTCAGATCATTCAGATCTTTTCACAGTTACACATTATATATACCACCAAGATATTAAAAACTATTATGAACCTCCATCTTGTACATAGCAGTCAAGGTATAAGATGAAGTTCAGAATAGCTTGACATTGTGAAGATGGATACAGTGCTGATAATCCAAAATACACATATTGTTCATTATAGGCACAAATATCATCTTGGTTTGGACTCTTTTATTATATAAGACCGAAACATCTGCCTTTATTCCAGCCTCTGATAGATGTTTTGATAATTGTCCGATGTCGACTACTTCAGACGATAACTGTCAAAACGTCTATCAGAGGCAGATGTTTCGGACTATTATTATATTTTCAGATATGTCAGAAGCTGAGAAGCATGCTGATTACCCTGCTATAAGTTATACTAAGATTAGTCTGGGTTCTCTGGCAGTAGTTACTACTGATACAGTATCTGTCAGTATCAAACATCTACCATCAGTCTTCTCTCTGTTTTTTGTTATGTTTATATCTTTATCAGTCTATTAATAATATTAATTTTATAACATCTGATGTTCAGCCTTTCTATGGATAATAAGGTGTAGGGCTGTTGTTATACCATTTTGTCCTTATGTTAAATACTAAGAAATTTGAAAGTGGGGAGGGGGTACGCCACTGGTGTTCAAGTCGTCCCAGCCACCAAACTCATTGAAATTGGGTCTACTTTGGCGAGGTCCAGCTTGAGAGACAGGAAGAACCAACGACAATGTTGTGCACGACTACCAACAGAAGGTTCGCGTAGATTTTTAAATAGTTTTTATTGTTCTTCCACACCCATACTCTTTATAATGCTTTAGGGAAGGGTTTGTAGGGTTTGCTAGGTGGCCTGTAACTAGTTGAAGCCCCTTGACTTCCGAACCGAGGAAATAAAAATCAGCGTTAGGAACCAATAAACCAAACATAATTCCGAAAACATAAAAAGTATATTCGTATTAAAAGTTTATATAAAATGTCTAGTATTATAGCTTCATAAACATCACATGTTAATTTGAACACAAAAACAAACTCGATCTTTATAAGATCTCACATTAAACATTTGACTATATACATGTAACTAAACATTCCTAAACAATATTCCTACTTAATGTCTCAAACAGGGTTCAGTTCGACCTTGCATCTTATCATAAGACCAAAAAGAAAATTGCAGAGTTGTTCGATACAACATTAACCAGTCAGTGGCGGAGACAGGTTTACGTC